TATTTTAAAAAAGCTTTGATTTTTGGCAACAAATAAAATGCTTCCAATGCTGTGCCCCAGAAACACAATCTTGCTTAGTCACAGTATTTTCAGTGTCTCCAAACACCAAGTTCTGTTGCTAAATATGTAGGGCTCAGCAGTCTACCAGAAAAAAATGTTTCCTCCCTGGAACACATGTTTTTGCTTAAAGGGAGTTCTCCAAAACACTTTCTTTCATTAGCAAATGCAACATTAGATCCTCACAAATATATGTTATCACCTGGTAAGAGTAACTAGCAAAAGGGAAAGAATTGGTTGCTCTGTTTGTTAAGGAGAGGTAGATTGTGCACAGGAAATGCAGTCAAGTTTGACGTCTCCAGACTATAATGAATTACACTTTAAATACGGCTCCAGTACCAATCCTGTGTTTTTTTCATGTTTTAATTCACAGACTGATTGAAGTGTAAATTGGGAGTCATTACTCAGGCTAGATCTACACTATTGTTTGGGTTTTTTTGGAAAAAGCTCTGCAAATTGCGCTCCACAATTTGTGGAGCTTTTTCCGATCACTTTTCCAGAAGAGGCTTTTCCACCATTTGGCCCAGTCTAGATGGGACCAAATGGCAGAAAAGCCTTTTCTTTTGGTGGAGCCCTTATCCCTTGTAGAACGAGGTATACAGAGCTCCCCAAAGGGGCGCATTTGCTCTTCCACAAAAAAAGTGGAAGAGCAAATGCATTCCTTGGACGCGGTGGAGTTTTTCAAGAATACCTCCAGTATCCCAGAAAACCCCCACAGTGTAGACGTACCCTCAGAGACTTACATTCTCTCTCCAGCTGTGCTACTGACTTGCTTTACAACCTTAGCAACTCAACTCATCTTTCTGTGGCTCAGTTTCTGACCTGTAAAATGGAGACAACACTTCCCCACCTCCATAAAGCAGTTTAAGATTAATGAATGAAAAGTGCCAAATCTTGGTATTTTACTATTGCTTATTGTGAGGGAGTGGACTCACCACCCTGCCTCAGTCACCCTCTGCCAGTCTTCATCTAGCCCCCATCTCGGGGCAAACTATAGTCTTTAAGGGCCGCTCATCACCGGCATAGGGGTGTGGACCTGCTACAGCTGCTTACCACAGCTGTCTCTCTACAGCCCTTTTAGCCCCGGGCCATGCTCTATGCCCTACAGCCTGGGAGCTCGCTTGGCCAGAGTTCCCCTAGGCCCTACCTTGCTGCCCTAGCACTCCTTGTGCTCCTGAAAGCCTCCTGCTTTCTCAGCTGACAGCCCTGACTGCCCCCCCCCCCCCCCAGCAGGGAACTGCTGTCCATTATAGAGCCCCCAGTTGGCCCCCTTAAAGGGCCAGTGCAGGGCATGTACCCTGTCACACACCCTCCCTTTCTGTTCGGGATTCCCTCGCCCTGCCTGCCTCCATTCCGGGCCTGCGGCTTCCACCCAGGGCCCTAGCTACTCCTGGGTTCTTTCTAGCTGCCTCTGAGCATGCACAGCAGAGGTGGCATGCTGGCCGGCGCCCCCCCCCCCCCCCCAGAGAGTCACAGCAGCGCAGCTGTCAGTGCGGGGCAACAGTGCCCTGTCACACACAGTCCTTTCCAGGACTCTACCCCCCTCCGAAGTCTTTTAGTCAGCTATGGACCTAGAGAAAAAAATCTGCATTGTTATGGAACCTCCCCAGCCTGTGCCAGACCTCAAATGTATAGGGCTGTAATTCCAAATACCATCTCAGGATTCGAGGGTTGGTGTCCTTCATTGTGTGGATCCACTGTAATGGTTCATGATCAGTTATCAACGTAAAGGCTTCTCCTAGGAGATAACGCAGGGCCTCTACTGCCCACTTCACTGCCAGGGCCTCCTTCTCAATCATGGCATATTGTCGTTCCCGCGGTAATAACTTCCTGCTCAAATACAGGATCGGGTATTCTGCCCCTGCCTGCTCCTGCGATAGCACTGCTCCTAACCCTCTGTCCGAAGCGTTCGTCTGCACTATGAATGGTTTCGTAAAATCTGGCTGGTAAAGGACCGGTGCTCGCGTCAATCATTGCTTTAACGCTTGGAATGTTTTATCAAACTGTTCGGTCCATTGGACCCTTTGGGGTCGTGTATTTTGGGTTAAGTTCATTAAGGGTGCTGCAATAGTGGTGTAATCAGATATGAATCACCGATAGTAACAGCAGAGGTGGCATGCTGGCCGGCGGGCCCCCCCCCCCCAGAGAGTCACAGCAGCGCAGCTGTCAGTGCGGGGCAACAGTGCTAGGCCCAAGAATTGGTGAACTTGCTTTTTTGTAGTGGGAGCACAGTAATTTCTCAGGGCCTCTACCTTATCCACCTAGGGTTTTATCTTTCCCCATCCCACTACATAGCCCAAATAGGACACTTCCCTCTGTCCATAGTGGCACTTACTCGGCTTGGCAGTAAGCTGGGCGTCGGCCAGGGCTCTCAGGACGGCCCTCAGATGTTGCAGGTGTTCCAGCCACAATTCGCTGTAAACGACAATGTCATCAATATACACAGCGGCGTATGCATGATGTTCGTATAATACCTTGTCCATCAGCCTCTGGAATGTGTCCGCCACCCCATTCAATCCGAAAGGCATCATAACGAATTGGAACAGGCCAAATGGTGTGGCGAACGTAGTCTTGTCCTGGGAAGCAGGTGTCAGGGGAATCTGCCAGTATCCTTTAGTGAGGTCGAGCGTGGTGATATAGTGGGCCTTACCCAACGGTTCCAGCAGCTCATCTACCCTGGACATAGGATACGCATAAAAGTGTGAAATTGCATTTACTTTATGGAAGTCTATGCAAAACTGTATCCTAATGAGGACCCTATGCTACAAGAAATAGGTTTCTATCAGCAATGGGAGGAAAAATTATAAGCACGTTTGACTTGGATCTTTGATTCTTCAACATCACTGATGCAGAAAGGTTGATGGAAATTTATTTTACCATAGATGGTTACAAGGAATTCTTTTGAAACCTGTTAGCCATAGGAAAGAGCTTACCAGATTCCTTTGTTGCTTGAGTTGGATGCCAGTGTTCTATACCAAGGACTACCCCCTCACACACACACTGTTCACAACCTAATGATTCTAGAGAACATACTGAATCTATTCCTACTCCTATGCCTTCCTTCCATTGTAAATCCTTTTCTTGTTCCATGTATTTTTCTCACTGTGCTTATTATATTTAATAAATAACCTTTCTTAACCCAGGTTTATATTCAGGCTCTGTAATACATCTATATATACTGAATTGTAATACAGTATGTTGTTTGAAATGTTCTGCTAATAATGTAAACAAGACAAAGGTAAGTTAATCATGGTCATTCCATTTTAATGTTTGAAGGCACTAAATGAAGTCCCTCCAGGAGATCCAGAAGGAATTCTCTCTGCATGTAAAAGAAGATACATACACTGAGGTTTTTGGGAGGAATTGGCCTTCTTCTGAAGAAACAGCTAATATCCATTATTAGAGGGGTGATAACGCACTGGACATGTATACACAGCAGGGCTAACGCCACAATAAGTTACGCAACTTGAGCTATGTCAATTGCGTAGCTTAAGTCTAAATAGCTATTTCGGCTTTTGGTGCTGTCAACACAACAGGAAGTCCGAGGAAGAGCACTCTTCCTCTGACTTCCCTTACGCCTCGAAAAATGAAGGTTGTAGTAAGAAGTCCTCCAGCTCGACACTATTTTGACTTTATGTCGAAATAACTGCATGTAGTGTAGACACAGGCTATGTTATTTCGGAATAACATCAGTTATTCTGAGATAACGCTTCTGCATAGACATAGTCTCTCAGGCTGTGTCTAGACTACATGCCTCTGTTGTCAGAGGCATGTAGATTAGACACATAGGCAAAGTCAAATGAAGCTGCAATTTAAATGATCGCGGCTTCATTTAAATGTACATGGCTGCCACGCTGAGCCGACAAACAGCTGATCCGCTGTTTGTCCGCTCAGCGCGGCAGCCATTTAAATTTAAATGAAGCCGCGATTATTTAAATCGCGGCTTCATTTGCCTTTGCCTACCGGGGCTGCCGATGAAGGGCTTTGATGTCGGCAGGGGAGCATCCAGACTAGCACGCTGAGCGGATAAACAACTGATCAGCTGTTTGTCGGCTCAGCGCGGCAGCCATGTAAATTTAAATGAAGCCGCGATCATTTAAATCGCGGCTTCATTTGACTTTGCCTATGTGTCTAATCTACCTGCCTCTGACGACAGAGGCATGTAGTCTAGACACAGCCTCACGGTCTGAGTTGGTTTGCACCCCCATGCTCTTTTAAAAATTGAATGACTCTTTTTTTGCAGGGAACACAGGGTTCTTGACTGCCTTCCCCCCCCCCCCCCCAACAGGATTGCATTTTTGAGCACTTTGTCCTTGAAGGAGAGAGGGAGATGCCTTCATTGCTGCTTACCTTCTGCACACAGATAAAAGTCAATGATTAACCCCATATACCAAAAGCCCATTGATTCCTGAACAAAGATGCTGCCTAAAACAATAGAGTTAATCATCAGTTCACCTCCCCTCCCCCATTTAATTTATCCTTTGTCCTTTCATCTCCTCCTCACTCAACTTTCTTTGCTAGTCCTACAGAGGTTTCAACTGCCACAAATTCTCCCCTTCCCCCTCCTGCTGTAGGCACCTATCTTTCAAGTGGTTCTGTGACCCCTGGAGCCTTGTAGGCTGCATTCATTATTACAGAGTTCAACAACCAGTAAATGCTCCATTGGGCCCCATGGAGAAGGAAGAAGGCTCTTGGAAAGGGGATGAGAACTGAATATTTTTATAACTGTTTAAAAGTCACCAATCCAGCTACAAAAAGATAAAAGTTCTACTGGACATCTGCCAGTTATTTTCCCCCACAGAATTCTTGTCCATTGCCCGAAACCAGCAAAAGAATAATGCATTTGAGCAGTTTCAGTGGACCTTGATCTAGTTTATCAGCTGATTTGCAATGTTTACTCAAACCTCATTTAGAAACTCACTTACTTTCCCTTTTGTCAGAGATCTAGCAATTCAAAGGGGTCCTGCCATGGGATAGCAAACGGCAGATAGACATGGATGGACAGTAGCAGCACTGAAGAAACTTCTGCCAGGCATTGGGGCTGAGATGGTTGGATCGTCACAGGCTGGAGCAGCAATGAAGAGGAAGCCACTCAGAAGTGAAGCTGAGAAGGATGGGATCAGCAATGAAGAAGCTTTCATGAAACAATGCAATTGATGACAGATGAAAGTGATGATAGTCAAGAGAATCACGTAAGTGGCCACAGAAGGGAGTTGAGAATATTGATGTGATACAATAGACAGGGCCAGTCCTGATGGGACCTTTGTCCTGCAACATGGTTGATAGAAATAGTTGGACACAACACACTAAAGAGACCTTCAGTAGGCAGTAGGCATAAGAAAAGCAGATAAAGCTGGATTGAAAGGAGGGACTCACCCAGCACCATAATGTATTTTAATCCCTACAGATTCTGATAGGATCCAAGATTCCTAGGACTAACTCAGAGCAGTCTTTCTGGGTCCTGCTGTTTTACCTGCCTGGAAAAAGGGGGCAATGAGGAACAAGGAGCCACATGGAAGTAGTGAGAGGTGTGGGCCCATGTGGGCCTTGCTGCAGAACATCTAACCTGTGTACACATGTGACAGGCAATAGAATGTGTAGTTGCTCGGGTTCTGGGAAGCAGAAAAGTGGGAGGTGACACTTTGCCCCCATATTTCAAATGGAAATATGTTTTTGAATATGAATATGCATAACTGTGATATACTTTATGCAAAACAGAGCAAGGAACCTATCGTTCAAGAGCTGTGTTCCTGGCTGCTGTGTCAAGTCCCTGTAACTGAGCTCCTTCTCAGAGTCTCTGTGTTACTCTGCTGGGGGCTGTTGTCCCTATTCAGTGCTTTGGCTGGGGAAACCAGAGCTTCTGACTCAGCAGGACAGGGTGACGGGGCACCCAATAGGGCAGGTCGGCGGACTCAGTGGCATAATCAGCCAACAGGTGACAGGTAACAATGGTTAGTAAAGCAAGGAATTCAGAATTGAAGGTATTACAATTCTGTCTACTTTAAAGTATTTTATAAGGCATAAATCACATTGGTATCTGAGCACCAACTTTAAGGGGAAAAAATGCCAAAAAGCCGGGGTGAAAGTAACTTAAACATTTCTTACAGGTATTGTCCTATTGCAACTCGGGTCCCTGCCAGCTCTTTGAATAGCTTCCTGCTGGTTTTTGCTGTAGCTCAGCCAGTTTTTGCGGGAGCTGCACACCAGGGTGCACCCACTTACTTTCCCCTCTGCCAAAAAGTGTGGAAATATACATTTAAAGTCACAAAACAACTTCAACTCTGCAGCCCCAGTACCGACTCTGCTGCTCATATGGTGTGTGAGGCAGATACATTTTTCTAACAGTTTAACATCTTAAATCTGGACTATTCGTAGCACTGTGCAGATAGTGCAGGAACTAGATGCTTTTTGCTAAGAACATTAAATTCTGTATTATTGCAGCTAGGCACATTTGGCATGTACATTTGAAATACTTTCGAACATAGGTGCTAACTTCCCCTCTAGCTGGGTGATGCTTGACCCCATCCTCCTGCCCCATCCCTGCCCTTACTACACCCCTTCCCTCAAGCACCTGCCTCCCCTGGCCTCTTCCTGCCCCTGCTCCACCTTTGCCCCACCCCCATTCCACCCTTTCACCCAGCCCCTGACCCACCTCTTTCCCGCTTTCTCCCTCCAGTGTGTTGTGTCCTTGCTCCTCCCTCCCCCTGTCAAAGAATCTTGAATGTCATGAAACAGCTGTTTTGTGACAGGTGGGAGGTTCTAGGAAGGAGGGAGGAGGTAGAAGCCGGTTTGGCTGCTGGTGGGTGTTGAGCACTTGCTAACTTTTCCCTGTGAATGCTCCAGACCAAGAACACCCAAGGAGTTAGTACCTGTGTTTTCTAAAGAATTTTCAACTAGGGTGAGGATAAAAATGTTAAATTATGTATATTTGCAAAGGCTTGTCTCACAAAGGATGGAACATGCATGTGGCGGGAAGATACAGGTACATAATATATAGGGTAAAGTATATACAGATAAGAGCGACCATACTCTCTCCCAGACTCTGCACCCCTTTCTACACCCTAATCTCTTGCCCCAAACCACAACCCCCTCCTTCACTCAAACTCCTTGCCAGACCCTGCACCCACTCCTGCACCCCAATACCCTACCCTGAGCTCCCTTCACTCTTCTAGTTATGGTACAGGGTGACAGAACTCATAGGATTAGTGACAAGCATAGTGTAATGAATATAAATTTACAAGAAGCACCACACAATTAATAGATGCTCAGACAGTGTTAAATTCATACAAGTACATCAAGCATCATACAACTCCCACCAGCCCCCAAAACTTCAGGGCCAAGTAGAGGACAGTCCACCATTAAAGTGCTCTTTCAAGATCTCCATTAGCTGCATACCACCATGTTGAGCTCCTCTAACAGCTCTTGTGTTTTGATGTCAAATGCTGCAGATAGCCCTTCACTCCAGTGATATCTTCCCCACCCTCCCAACCCCAACCCCCACACAGACTCAGAGCTATTATGAAGGATACAAGAGGCCATTGGAATATTTTTAGATATATCCATTGGAAATGTTTTTCTCATTGAGATCTAGTATTGTGAGTAAACAACACCAACTTCCTTTCAATCTCCCAAAAGCACATTCAACCATCATTCTCAACCTGCTGAGTTGGGAAATGAATATTTCCTTGGCACTGTTGAGGTGACTTCATAAGCAACAGGAGCAAGGCTGGGTCCACGGAGATCATTATTGGCATTTTAACATCACCACTAGTAAATCTGCCAGTCAAGAAAGTGTGTCCCATTTTGCGGCTTTGTGAACTGTCCTGTGTTCTTAAAGAAGTGAGCAACATTAACCTTTCCTGGCCAGCCAACACTGATGTAGGTGTAATGTTGTGACGGCGCGTTGGGGGTTCCCCGTCTCCTGCACCCCGAAATGGCACAAACAGACTCCACCAGCCAGTGGAATTGAGGGTGGTTTATTGCTCCTCCAGCACAGCGCAGCACAGATGTAATCTGGTTACAGGAACTGGGGCTAAGAGGCCTCAGTGCCCCCCCTTGAGATAGGGGAGTCCCAGCCCCCTCCCCAGCTCCTTATTCCCTGCCTTCCAGCCAGGAACTCACTAACCCTCTACCAGCCCTGCCCCCCAGCCAGGGCAGCATTCCACCTCCCTTTGTTCCTCTCCATGGGGGGTGTCTGGCCACTGGTTCAACAAGTTTGGCATTACCTTGGCCTAGTGAGGCTTTCACTGCTGGGTCTTGCTCCAGACAGCAGGGGTCACCACATCCCAGCAAGTACCCCCACTACGTCACAAATGTTCCTGATGTTCCCCCAATAAAAAAGTAGTCCTTTTTGTTGAGGTACTCTGAGGTAAGGTGCTCTGGGGCCAAATGAAGGATATGCATGTTAACTCTTGCTTCACTGCAGATCAGGAACCCCATCGCTGCAAATCCAGCCACTATGTTCTGCACATTGCCAAAAGTCACAGTCCTGCATAGCAGGAGACAATTAATAGCCCTGCCCATCTGCATGACAACAGATCACCATGTGGATTTTTCAACTCCAAAATGATTTCCCACTAACTGGCAGCAATCCAGTGTGGCAGGCTTCCACAGTGTGATTGCCACTCACTTCTCTAGTCAGTGTAGCTCTCAGTTTGGTGTCCCTGCCCAGGAGGGCTGGGATGAGCTCAGCATGCAGATGCAAGGATGTGGCTCTGCAGATTGGAAAGCTCTCCAGTCATAATCATTCCAACCTTATATTATCGTACAATCCCATCAGTCAGTGCTCATTTCTCAGGCCCAGCTGCTGTGAATTCTATCCGTGCCCCTGAACTGGCTCTTGCTATGTCACACAGCGATCTGTTCCCCATGAAATCATCATGTCCCCCACAGCTGTGGTGCTTCTTGCAGCTCTGCAAACTCTGGAGGAATATGCATCCTGGCTGTGTCTACACTGGCATGAATTTCCAGAAATGCTTAAAACAGAATAGTTTTTGTTATAAGTATTTCCGGAAAAGAGCGTCTACATTGGCCACAGATGCTTTTCCGGAAAAGCCCTTTTTCCGGAAAAGCATCTGTGGCCAATGTAGACGCGCTTTTCCGGAAAAGAGCCCCGATCGTCATTTTCGCGATCGGGGCTTTTTTCCGGAAAAGACTACTGGGCTGTCTACACTGGCCCTTTTCCGGAACAGTGTTCTGGAATAAGGACTTATGCCCGAGCGGGAGCAGCGTAGCTTTTCCGGAATAGCGGCTGATTTTGTACAGTAGAGTGTCATTGCTTTTCCAGAAATTCAAGGGCCAATGTAGACAGCTCGCAGCTTATTCCAGAAAAGCGGCTGATTTTCCGGAATAAGTGGCCCAGTGTAGACACAGCCCCTGTGTTTGCAATATTCATGATAAGAGTGCAGGGCTATGTGGGCTCCACACAGAGCTGTCCTTACCCATATGTAAAATAGGCAGTTGAGTAGGGCACCTGAAAATTTGGGGCACCACTGGGTTTTAATGTCCATCTATCTGCCTCTTCCTATTCCTGTTCTGTGGCTCTGCTTTCTCTAGAGAGGATCTAGTTAACTTAAAAGTGACAACGCCTGCCAAACCCTATTAGAAGACACTGAAACTGTGAAAGAGCCGTTCAGATGATAATGAAGCCATTTAACAGGTAGTTGTCAACTCCAGGTATATATTGTACTGTCAGTTTCTGAATTTACTGTGTTAGTCTACAGAACCTTAGTTTAAAAATTTGCTTTAAAATATTTCATTAGTGTCTTGCTGAAGTTTATAAAATTACATCTCTAAAAAATTATCATCCCCCGCCCCCGGGCTGCCATCAGGCATAGGGGCATCAGCTTAATAGTACTTTGTAGGGCCCCACACATCCTAAAGATGTTCCTGGCTCCATGCTTTTGTCAGAGATGGTGGACTGCAACAAGTGCTGCCCAGATTTGTGGGATTTTTAAAAAAGCAAGAACATTATGGGCTAGGGTGGCATTATTATGGGATGGAGAAAGTTGCATGATGCAAACGTGACCACTCACCCCCAATGATCCCTTGCAGAATTTGTTTCTGCCCAACCTGTAGTGCCCACATTTCCCAACAGACAGTGCAGGCTGCACTCTGAGACACGCTGTGTGTTGACACAAGCACTCCTGATGAGCACACACAGTGCCAGTGCAAGGAGCCAACTATGTATGATGCAAGTAATATAATAACTCCTCTACTTTTAAGCTGACATTACTTGCATCAGCCAAAATTTATAGTGTAGACATGGCCTAATAGTCAGGTTAATTAACCTCAGCAATAGGTTTCCAAGGGAGGTTGTGGAATCCTCATCACTGGGTGTTTTTAAGAACAGCTGGACAAATACCTGAAGGGATGGTCTAGGTTTACTTGGTCCTGCCACGGCACAGGACCTGACATAGGTTCTGACTCCAAAAAACGGTGGGTGCTAAGCACCCATCGGCAGCCCCCCTATGAGCACCTCCCCCTTATCCCAGCGCCTCCCTCCCACCCACCAGTGGGCCCCACAGATTAGCGCCTCTCCTCCTTCCCTGTGCCTCTTGCCCACTGCAATCAACTGTTTCACAGCATGCAGGAGGCTGAGGGTGAGAAGGGAGAAGCAAGAATATGGCACACTCAGGGGAGAAAGCAGAACTGGGTGGGAAGAGGTGGAGAGGGAGTTGGGACTTGGGGAAAGGGGTAGAATATGGGTGGGATCTGGGGCAGAGCCAGAGGGTCAAGCACCCCCCCCTTTGCACTTTGGGAAGTCTGCAGCTGTGAGGGCTAGGACTTGATGACTGCTTGAGGTACCTTGCAGTCCTACATTTCTATCATTCTGTAAGGTGGACATGTGTTTATCCTATGTTGAAGAATAACAGCCCAATATACTCCTAGATCTCTCCGCAACATTCAGTATGGTCAATCACAAGGCACTGCTACTGGTATCCTAATTGAGGGAAGGAGTGTAGGGGATCCAAAAAAATTCATTACAATGGTTTGAATCCTTCCTGGAAGGCCCCAAGGGGCATTTAATAATGAGAGTTTGTACCTCTGCCACATAGTGTTTCACATGGCTCAATTGTCTCCCAGATCCTGTTCAATATTAATATACAACCACTAGGAGAAGTCGTAAGATCTCCTAGGCTCAGAATATACAACCACTAGGAGAAGTCGTAAGTTCTCCTAGGCTCAGATGCAAACAATGTGCAGCTCTAGTTGTCCCTGAGAACCTATCACAACAGCACTGTCACCCAGCTTTCCCACACGCTGTTCTCCTGGGAGCTGGAGGTGTAGTTTCTAGCTAGGTTAGGTGTATGTGCTCTAGTGCTGATGGAAGGAGCAAGCTAAAAATTGCAGCGTGGCCATGGCTGCATGGGAGGCAGGATGAGCTGGCCGAGGATCTCAGGAAGGAGCGTGCACAGAGCAGCTAGCCAGTCCTGACACCCATGCAGCTGCACAGCTATTTTTAGCACACATACTCCATCAGAGCCACAGCAGGTATGTCTATGCAAGCTGGAAATTACGCCTTCAGCTCCAGTGTAGTCATGCTCCTTGTGTCCAGCCTTGAAAGAGCTAGGGGAAATCACAGCCTAGAGCAAGGCAGCAGTTGTAGCTGTAGGTAGAGTAGAATGTTTAAAAGAGCTTGCTCAATACAAGGCCTGAACCAAGGTGCAGTGAAGTCAATGAAAAGCCTGCCATGGACTTTCCTGGGTTGTGGCCAGGCCCACAGCATGGTCTTCTCCAGCCCAGGATACTTGCCCACAAAATTGTCAAGCCAGCTACAGTTCATATGATTTTCTACCTGCTTCAATGAGTGGGCAAACAATAGCATACATTCTTCATCTCTGAGAGGCTAAGAGAACTGTATCACAGCTCTGGGGATGATGATGGCCTCAGCAATGCAAACCTTTGTTTACCTCCTGTTGATTTATAGTGACATAATTAACCTGGGTTTGAAATCACTGGTCCTGGGACAGCTACACCTGGTGCAGAACTCAGCAGAACTACCGGGTACTGTAAACCTCTCATCCCTATACCCTACACTTTCCATTAACTCCCATTCAATACTCTGTCCAGTCTCAGGGTCTTGGTACTTAATTTGAAACAGTCTGGGTCCAGGATATGAGGGAAAACCTCGTCCTTTGGGGCTTTAGCTGCTCTGGATACCTCTGGCACAGTGGAATAGTCTACTATAAGAGAGCTGCTTGTGAGTGCAGGAGACAGAGCTTTTTTGGGCACTGGCCCAAGACCATAAAACTTAGTCCTGCAAGAACTACCACAGACCTCACACCTTTCCAGTCCAGTGCAAAGCATACTATTCATACAACACATGGTGCTTCAGACACATTCCAAAAAGAAACCCCTCTTCAGTTCCCACCCACCCCAGGAGAGGAAGCCCCACATGACAAATATTACCCACTAGGTTTAGCTGATCTTTCTCACTGCTGAAGACTGGGAAAGATTCTTGAGTCCTGGGTTGGGTTGGGTTTGTTTTTGTTGGCTTCATGGTTTTTTTTTTAATTCACAGATAGAAATTATAGCTGGAAAAGGGCTATCAAAGCATGTAGGTCATTCCCTTTCTCCAGGGTTTAGCTTGAACACAGCCAACACATTTGTCTCGTTTAGGCCCCATGTTTCTAGAGGCCCCCGACAAACCCACAACTCCCTGCGCTGCCCACTTACTCTCTTAGGCAATGGGACCAACAAGGTGGGGTCTTATTGTCTAATCTCCTACCCACTGCAAATTGTAAAATCACTGGCTCAGTGTAGAATTATTCCCTCAGGAAGGTAATCCCTGCCTCCTTTCTGGTCTGTCTGTGCCTCTCATTTTGTCAAGTTCTTTTGATGCTGAGCCTTCATTGCATCACTTAGGAAATCTTGTCGCTATGGTGACTGGATGCAGCTTGACAGTCTGTTTATGGGCCAGCTATTACAGTCAGAATTTCTTCTGGCTGCTTTACATTTGTATTTGTTTCAACTCATTGTTTATTATGTGTGTTAGAGTGCCAAAGGAGAATACTGATACACTGCAAAGATAAATGTTAAGAAACCTGCATGCTCTGTTACTTTATTGGGAAAAAACACTGAATGGAATTTGTGCTAATATAGGTTCCAGAGCAACAGCTCTTAGGCCAACTCTACACTAGGAGGTCAGGTAGAAGTTAGTTGTGTTATGTCAATTTTGTAATGAATGAGTCTTCATCACCTAGGCTGTGTCTACATTGGCATCCCTTTCCGGAAAAGGGATGTTAATGAGACACTTCGGAATTGCAAATCCGCGGGGGATTTAAATATCCCTCGCGGCATTTGCGTTTACATGGCTGCCGCTTTTTTCCGGCTCGGGGTTTTTGCCGGAGAAAAGCGCCAGTGTAGACGCGATTTTCCGGAAAATAAGCCCTTTTCCGGGAGATCCCTTATTCCTACTTTCAAGATGTAGGAATAAGGGATCTCCCGGAAAAGGGCTTATTTTCCGGAAAATCGCGTCTACACTGGCGCTTTTCTCCGGCAAAAACCCCGAGCCGGAAAAAAGCGGCAGCCATGTAAACGCAAATGCTGCTGGGGATATTTAAATCCCCCACGGATTTGCAATTCCGAAGTGTCTCATTAGCATCCCTTTTCCGGAAAGGGATGCCAATGTAGACACAGCCCAAGTGTGTCTGGAGATGGAACAGGAACCCTCCCTGCACATCTCTACAAAACTCTGTGTAGTGGGGGCAGTCACTTGGCTCCAGGATAAAAAGGGTTAAAAACAGCCCTGAGAGGTGGGCAAAGTCAGCCAATTAGGGCTCAACTCAGCCCTCTAACATGGGTTCCCGAAAGAGAGAGGAGCACACACTCTCAGAATCATAGAGCTGGAAGAGACCTCAAGAGGTCATCAAGTCCAGCCCCCTGCCCAAGGTAGGACCAACCCCAACTAAATCAACCCAGCCAGGGCTTTGTCAAGCTGAGATTTAAAAACCTCTAGAGATGGAGATTCCACCACCTCCCTAGGTAACCCATTCCAGTGTTTCACCACCCTCCTAGTAAAATAGTTTTTCCTAATATCCAACCTGGACCTCCCCCACTGTAACTTGAGACCATTGCTCCTTGTTCTGCCATCCGTCACTACTGTGAACAGCCTGTCTCCATCCTCTCTGGAACCTCCCTTCAGGAAGTTGAAGGCTGCTATCAAATCCCCCCTCACTCTTCTCTTCTGCAGACTAAACAAACCCAAATCCATCAGTATCTCCTCATAGGTCATGTGCTCCAGCCTCCTAATCATTTTGGTCACCCTCCACTGTACCCTTTCCAATGTGTCCACATCCTTTCTATAGTGGGGGGCCCAGAACTGGACACAATACTCCAGATGTGGCCTCACCAGAGCTGAATAAAGGGGAATAATCACTTCTCTGGATCTGCTCGCCATGTTCCTCCTAATGCACCCTAATATGCCATAATCCCCAGGTCCTTTTCTGCAAAACTGCTACTTAGCCATTCAGTACCCAGCCTGTAACAATGCTTAGGATTCTTCCATCCCAAGTGCAGGACTCTACACTTGTCCTTTTTGAACCTCATCAAATTTCTTGTGGCCCAATCCTCTAATCTGTCCAGGTCACTTTGAACCCTATCCTTGCCCTCCAGCATATCTACCTCTCCCCCTAGCTTAATGTCATCTGCAAACTT